GTCCATGGCTTCACGCCATTTCTCTCTGTGTTCCCCTCCCAGAGCCTGTTGAACCGTCGCAGGCTCTTTAGGAAGAGGGGAGCCACGGACGGCGGTGACGAGGCCGAGGATTTGCAGTCTGGTCTGTGAGTAGCGGGGGAGTGTTGTGTCCTCGGGATAGGCTGCTTCGTCTCCCGCTTCTAGATCGGGTATGAAATTTGGCCCTATTCTTTCTGCTTCGTTGGTGTTGGCTGTTGCAGGTGTTGCGTAACCATTGTCGGCGAAGTGATAGAAGACTGTCAGAATCCCAACCACTAGACCATTGGGATAAAAGGGCTTGTTTCAGTAGCGGGTCAGTGCGCCCATAACCCCCCAAGCAAATGCGCCTGTAACCCTCCCTAGGATCGATCGGGAATCTCACAGTGTAGCTCTACTGACACCCCCCCACACTGGGAGGCCCAGGACTGAGCACAGTGGCAACGGCCAACATGTGCATACACCGGGATTTGAACCCGAGACCGCTCTGATACCATGTCAGAATCCCAACCACTAGACCATTGGGATAAAAGGGCTTGTTTCAGTAGCTGGTCAGTGCGCCCATAACCCCCCAAGCAAATGCGCCTGTAACCCTCCCTAGGATCGATCGGGGATCTCACGGTGTAGCTCTACTGACAAAGACTTCGGCGTTGGTACTTCCGCGAGGATTTTCTTAGTCCATGGGCACGTCGACGGAGCAGAACGGGAGAGGTCCGGCTTCCTCCGATGCGTTGTCAACGTTCTGTTCATCCCAGTCTGCTTCGTCCGCTGCTGAGGCGAAGGCTCGGTCACCACGAAAGCCACCTGTGGGGTCCTGATTCTCGTGCAAGTTGGCGAGGTACGTCTGAAGGGTGAGTCGTTCGTAGAAGATCACATCACGTGCTGCTACTGTCTCCTTTGAGTGGACGTCGAAGATTTTCCATGCGTTGTAATTTTTCTCGATGCCGAGGTGTAGTCCCCACTGTGCCCGTTGTGAAAATCTTCCCGCTCGTGCATCTAGGGGTCGGTACTGTACCATGCACCCGAAAACTCGTAACATTTTTGTGCTGCCCTGCTTCCCTGTCCACAGCAGATGCGGTGATGCGTTGTTCGGGAGTGACGACGACGACAGCAAGTTGTGCAGCATGACAGCATGGTCCATTGCTGCGGGCCACTGGTGGTTGGGTAGCCGCATGCCACGTAACAGTTTGCGCATGCTGTTCTGCAGAGTCCTGTTCATTCGTTCTGCGACACCTTGCTGCTGATGGGCGTAGGGAAGGGAGAGGAGTTGCTTGATTCCTCTTTCCGCCAGGTACTGCTTGAAGCGCTGAGAGGTGTACTCTCCTCCTCCGTCTGACTGGAAGCTTTTCAGTTGTGTTCCTGATTCCCTCTCTGCTACCGGTAGCCAAGCGGCGAACGCTGCGAGAGCCATGTCGCGGCTTGGTAGGTTTAGATGCCAGGCATATCGAGTGGCGGCGTCGATGAAGGTAATGGTGTAATTGTAGGTGACTTGTCCTGGTTTGCGATTGTAGAGGATGTCGCTGTAAACCTTCTCGAGTGGTGCGTACGCCGGTGCGCTCGGGTTGTGATGAGGAGCGAACGGTCGGTGAGGTAAGTCAGCTTCAGGGCATGTAAGGCAAGTCCCTCATGCCTTTTGAAGTTCTCTGCCGTCGGGTAGTAGTAGGGAGTCTTTGTCGAGAACTCCTGCTCTTATCGTGTTGTTTAAAACTGTGTTGCTTGGATGTCCCAATCGTGCGTGCCAGGTTTCTTCGGAGGCGCGATGTCCGGGTGAGCGTCGATACGTGTCGGAGTTGGAGTAGAAGCTGGCGACGAGATTGGCGCTTCTGTGAACTTCTCGTTGAGTCGGGTTCAGCTGCTGTGCGGGTGTTGGTGGTGCTTTGTCGACGATGCCTGGTGTAGTTTGTCCTGCTGCTGCCGATGATGTTTCTGCTGCTGCCGATGATGTTTCTGCTGCTGCCGATGTTGTCTCTGCTGCTGCCGATGTTGTCTCTGCTGCTGTCGATTGTCGAATTGTTGCTAACGCTCGTGTTCGTTCTGCTTCAGGAATGGTGTGTGAGTACCAGAAACCTCCCGGGCTGAAGTCGGGATCGAGATCTGGGGGATGCGTCCAATCGGCGAAGTTGACGATGGCGTCGCTGTCTGCAGTGCCCAGGTCGGGGACGAAATCGAGGACGAAGACGTTGTTCTTCAACACCGCCTTTCTGATGTAGAGGCCGCCCTTCCCGTGGTACAACTTAAACTCCTGGGTGGTGCTGTCGGCTTCCAAGTGAATACCTTTCGCCATCAACTGGCTAACACTCAGTAAGTTATAGCCGAGTCCCTCCGCGATAAGTACCTTTGACATGTGTAATATGACATTTGTCTCTCGTGACTGAAGCTGTACCACGCCTTGTCGTCGTGTGCGCAGGTTCTGATTGTTGGCGACAGTAATGACTACTTCTCGTTGGAGTCGATGCTCGCGTTGAACGAAGCGCCCGGAGGAGCACATATGTTGTCTGCAGCAACTGTCCAAGAACCAAGTGTCTTGGCCGGACGGTTCGCTTTGAGCGATGGCGGCGTACGTTGGGTTCGGTTGAAGAGATTCGCGGCGAGGCGTGCTGTTGTCAAGTTGTTCTCCGGGTGAGTAGTAAGGTGGTGACTCAGTTGTGCAAGAATCGTTTATGTTGACCATGCAATTGACAATATTTCTTGCTCCTTGTGCAGGATGTCCAGTTGAAGTCGTTGAAGCTTGGATTGCGGTTGTCGGACTTGCTTGCGTTGAAGCAACTTGGGAGCTTGAAGGCCGGAGTTGTCGCTGTGGTGTCGTCGACTGCTGACGAGACGGGCAGTGCGTGCGAGGATGACCCGAGGTCTTGCAGATGTGACAAAACGGAGGTACCGTCTTCACTTGTTGCTGTTGTCGATTGTTGTTGCTGTTGTATCGTCGGTGAGTGTGAAACGCAAACTCTGGTGCTAATGTTTTCTTCTTGTGTCTTTCTTCTTGCAGGTCCATATCCTGCTGCTCGGCGTGGATTTCGGGGCAGAGTGCCGCTTCGGAGATCCTCCCGTGTGCTCGTAATATGGCGCGAGTGGAGCGCTAGTGGGGGCCGAGACTGCCAATGACCACCGTGACAAAGGCGTCTTCTGAAATTGACCCTCCGCATCGAAGAAGCTTGTCGCGCAGTTCGCGGCAGCGGCTGATATAAGCCATGCCTTTCTCGCCTGGTTTCATTTCAATCGTTGTCAGCTGCGCCATTAACCTGCTTTGATTTAAGCTGTCTGTTGCTTGATACAGGTTCTTCAGGTGGTTGTACGCAAGCTCCACGGAGTTGCCGTAGCCTCGGTAAGTCCTGATGTTCTGCTGCTGGGTCGGGGTGATGTTTCTTAGCAGTATCGTGTACGCCATCATTGATTGATAGGTGTACTGCTGCTTCTCATATTGTGTCCCGTTTGTCAGATCGGGACCCGTCGAAGAAGCCGAGAATCTGTGCTCCTTCCATCATCAGTTCGAACTCGAACGACCAGGTGAAGAAGTCTTTCCCGTCGAAAGGCTTTGTTGTTTGCAGCTTGAGAACGTGCGTGAATTGCGATTGAACTTGTAATGCGTTCAATGCCCTTTCTTGTCCCGGTGCAGATTGCGGTTGCGGCATGAAACTGACGGAGCCACGCTGGGGTTCGTACGGCGCAAAGGTAGGCTGCTGCTGTTGTTGTTGTTGAATCCCGCGTGCGTAGGATGAGCCGTCGAGACTCATAGGAGTCACGTTGTTGTTGTTGCTGTTGTTTGACTGCGCAGGTGCTCCTTGCTGGTGCTGCTCATAGAAGGACACGAAGGAGAAGAACTTCTCCATCATGTTTGGATCGAAGCCTGTTGGCGTTTCTGTGGACCCAGCTGCTGGTCTGGTGGTAGTCCCTTCCTCTGTCTGTAGGCCAGAGACAGGTGGTGGGGTAGGGGTAGTACCGGGAGAGCCGTTGGAGGAGCTCCTCTCCTTTCTGGTTGACATGTCTTCTTTGATGTAAGGATTGCTGAATAATAAGTTTTAACTCTAACTGCTCTCATACCATGTTGGGCTGAGAAGCCCTAGGATCTTTGTAGAGTTAAAGTCTGAGTAGGATTGTAATAGCGGAAGCGTTTTAGTAAAGGTCTTGAACCACCTTGCGCTAGTAGGTGAGAGCAAAGTAAGTTGATTAAAACAGGCAGATACACAGCTTTATATAAGAGTACAAGGAATACGAGTACCGTATTCTCCCGGACATAACACCCGGGGGTATTATGATAACCACAGGGAAAAAAGGGGGGGGGGTCCTCTCAACGGAAATTCCTATATATGTGAAAGAGAGGGAATCTCGGTAGATTCGAAGTGCAAGTGCACGCGAAAATTCATTCAGGAAGCGATTTTCGTCATATCCTCTCGTAAAAAAACTGACTCGATAACAGCTATAATAGGGTTTCGTAAGAAAAGGGGGGTGTTATAGAGAATCACCCCAAAGGGGGGGTATAGTACAAACGAGGTCGGCTATAGCACCCCCCCCGCACAAGCTACCCGGGGGTGTACTATTATGGGGGGGTGTTATGTCCGGGTGATTACGGTAGATATAATTAACTACCTTGCTGTTGCGATTCGATACAGTGCGACTCGGGCAACTCCTCAATGTCGAGTCAGTTGTGTGTCCTTGCTGTCGCGCTGTATTGGTCAAGTCAAAGGTCGCTGACCTTTGACCTTTGCGTAACCTCCAAGCGGTTACCCTAACCTCCGAGGGTTGACTCGCGATGCTTCGATTTGGACTGCTTCGCTTTTGTGTCCTTAGTTTCGACACGACAGAGGCGCTTAAGACTTATTGTTCCCAACAAAAAAAAGGATGGATGTGTTGTGTCATTCAGCAGCCCTGGTTATTTTTTTTTAATAATTCATGCTCCTCATGGCTCCGATGACCAAAATCCCAGCACAGGTCCTGATTGACAAATTATACCAACGTAACTACTCGAGCAACCTGAAGCACTACCTAACCTAACGTAATCGTCTCCTTTTCTTTGTTGACGGACCATGCACATCCTCCGAAGCAACCCCATTCGAATCACCACCAGCAGCCCTTTGCCCCCCAGTCACCCCTTGCACATCCGCGTTTCCTGCCTTCTCGCCTCCTCCCCCCTTCCCCACCACTTCACCCAGCTGAGTGATCTCCGTGGCGCCGTACTGCAGCGGCACGTTCGACACATCCGCCACCGTCTCCTCCTCTTTCAGCCCGCCCGGCGCAGCAGCCGCCTGCTTCACCTCGTTCACCATGGCCAGCAGCTCCTCTTTGTACTTCTGCCGCGCCGCCTCCCTGCGCTTGCGCCGCTCCTCAATCACGCGCAGCACCGCGGGGTCGGACTCGTTCACGGCTGCCCGCGGGTCCGGTGCATCTAGCGCCTCCTCCTCGCTCAGAATCTCCTCCTCTGCTGCTGCCACTGCTGCTTCCTCCTCCTCCTGTGCTGCCACTGGGGGTTTGGGACGAGCAGGAAGTGCGGAGTTGGGAGGACAAAGGGAAAGGGAAGGGATACGGCGTTGCGAATGAGAAAGACACCAGGGAATGACTCGCGATGCTCTGACGTGCTGCAACTGCTGTTTCCTCTGCTGCCTATGGGTAAGGTTTAACACAACCCTGAAGCAAACTATGCTTCAGGGTACGATGGGACATAAAGCAGCGTAGGAGTCAACACAACCCTGAAGCAGTGTGGAGGGAGGGAGTGACGAAGAAAAAGGTGGTGAAAAGCAATGTTGAAGATGGCTTGAAGGAATACAGGTGGCCGGCTACAAGGCGACAAGGCCAAGATGCGATTTGAAGTAGCCGGAAAGGTCGGGGCCAGAGGAGAAACAGAGAGGTTTGTGGTTGAGCGCACCACTACATGCATGCCTAGAATGCACCAGTTGCTGCAAACGATGTGCACGAGCATTCGGGAAGCAATCACTCTATTTGGGAAATTCGAAAGGGTATCGTCCATGCATGCCCACACCCCCCTTTCCCATGCACCCCCAATTACATTCATGCGAAAACATTTACACAGTGGATGGGGGTGCGCATGGACCTGAGGGTGGCTTTGCACCATGACAAAAACGTTCACGCAGTGAGGTTCAGAAGTTTGTGCAACCTACTTCGCCCTGTTCTCACGTACTGATTTCTTGCTTAGCTTAGCTTACGGGATGAGCCAGCACCAGCGAGCCCTGTTTCTCAAGAACTAATCTCTTGCTTCGCCCTGTTCTTTTGCTTCGCTCACTTCAGTGTTGAGCATGCCGCCTAAGAAGAAAGCAGGGGGGAGGATAATAAATTAGAACCCTACTTTCTTCTTACGTAGCATGCTCAACACCGAGGTGGGCGAAGCAAGAGAAAAGTTCTCGAGAACAGGGCTCGCTGGTGCTGGCTTATCCCGTAAGCTAAGCTAAGCAAGAGATGAGTACGTGAGAACAGGGCGAAGTAGGTTGCACAAACTTCTGAACCTCATTGCGTGAACGTTTTCGTCATGGTGCAAAGCCACCCTTAGGTCCATGCGCACTCCCATCCAACACGCGAACCCCACACTCGCTCGCCCCAGGTCACCCCCGACCCCCGGTCCCCTTCCCCTTCCCCCAAACCCACTTTTCCATTTTTCCCCAACGCTTCGCGCAAGCAGCAGGCGCAAGGGGGGAGGGATGAGGCTGCGACTTCTAGCCAGCTGCGTTACTACAACCGTGCGCACTTTCCTTCCACCCAATCCCCTACACTCGCAAACACATCCACGCCCTCCTTCCCTTTTGAGACGTCTCAAAAAGCGCTTCCTCCCGACCCACACCACCCCCAACCCCCACCGCAATAATCTCAACACATACGCCCCCATTCCCTTCTAACTTCTCCGCCCCATTCCTCCGAAGCCCCCGACGCAAACCCGTGAGGGCGTCAGCGGCGGCTTTGTTGGAGCGGGTGAACGAGTCAAGCAGCGACGAGGGCGCGGCGGCAAGCCCCGTGCTGCCCGCCTAGTAGCCCGCCGCCGACAGCCGCAAACACATCCACGCCCTCCTTCCCTTCTGAGACGTATCAAAAAGCGCTTTTCTTCCGAACCACCCCCCGCCGCCGTTCTCGCAAACACGCCCTCCTTCCCTTCTGACACAAATCAAAAAGCGCTTTCCTTCTGACCCAGCCCCCGCCGCCGACACTCGCAAACACATCCACGCCCTCCTTCCCTTCTGACACGTATCAAAAAGCGCTTTCCTTCCGACCCACCCTCCCTCCCCCCCCTCAACACCCGCAAACCCATCCACGCCCTCCTTCCCTTGAAATTCCTCTCCGCCCCCGCCCCCCGCAAACCCCCGCGCATACGCGTGAGGGCGTCAGCAGCGGCTTTGTTGGAATGAACGAACGAGTCGAGCAGCGACGAGGGCGCGGCGGCGAGCCCCGTGCTGCCGACATAGTAGCCCGCCGCCACTAGCGCGAGCGCCACCACCACCATCACCGCCACCTGCGACGACTGCCCTGCCATGGTCGTCCTTTCTAACAGATGCGTGCGATACTAAATGACGATGACGAATGAGGGAACTTATTTGCGGCGGCCCGAGGCAAGCGGCCGTGATTCCGCACGCATCGCCGGCGAACGCACTGTCTACGATATAGTGAGAACCCTGTGATGCACTCGCAGGGGGGTGGGAACTCCTACACAACTGAGACAGTGCGAACCCCGAAATTGGTCTGCGACGCACAAGTTGCGCCTGGAATTGCGTAAGAATCTAGATGGTGAGAAAGGCTCGTGGAATGATTGCGGGAAAATGAAATAAAACTAGGTTGGTGGGAGTTGGCAGGTGGTAGCTGCGAATATCTGCGGCAAAGGAGATAAGTGTTTGCGAGGTAAGGTGGGGGAGGGGGAAGGAGGTTATTCGTGCCCTTGAATCTTTTGACGGCGTGGTGCAAAATGGGGTCCAATTTCCGTGGGGTCGTTTAGGCTCGAAGGAGTTTCAGCGTGATGAACTTCTTTCTGAATCGAAGCCCAAGATTTGCAACTTCTGTTATGGGACGCGTTTTGTTCTCCACTCGACAATGTGCAAAATCGTAATCTAAGGGCGTATTTCGGGTTTGGGGCATGAGCACTGTTCAGGCACTGTACAGGGCATCCGCAACAACCGCATGACCCAAACCCAAGCACCAAAGCGCGCGCGACTCGAACTTCGGGTCATGCTCAACATTGCATGCGACCGTCAAACAAAAGGTGGAGCGCACCAATCACAGAGCTGCGCGACCCCATGTAGAGCAACCTCTGTAAATCGGCCGTTCGGCGCGATGTGCACGCCCGTCAATGTGGCGTGTACACCACACCCTTGTAAAACAACTTAATCCTCTTAACAATCACAACATCCAGAAGCCAGACCAGCACACTACATGCAAAGACACACAAACCGCCCTGCTAACAAGCACAGCCACCACCACGCCCGTGTCGCCAGCTCCGCCAGCAAGGATGCAGGCAAGACACCGTACTGAACCATCTCTAAAGGGCCGCCAGGAAGCCAGTCGGCCAAAGCCGCTGTGGCCATAAAACATGCTTACCCCACAGGTACTCATTCTATGTGTAGCATTGCACCTCTGGCATGAGTACGTGCTCAACACCTGGCAGCGTGTAGTATCCCTCGCCGCACTAGAGTGGATAACCACTATCCTACCGATGGCCCAAGCCGAGGATGAGGAGCGCCAGCGACGTGCGACTGCGCGCCGCGAAAGCCGCCAGCGCCGTCGAGAGGCACGTGTGGCGGAGTGGGTGGAGGAAATTCGCGCTATGTTTGACGAGGAGTTCGAGGACACCTTCCGGATCACGCGGGAGGTGCTCGACCTCATCGCGGAGAAGATGGCGCACCCCATGTCCCGTTTCGTCGAGTACAACAACGTCCCGTTATCTCTCTGTTGCCTGATTCCCATCAAGTACTTTGCAAGTGCCATGACATATCACGACATGAGTTTCATGTTCGGTTTGCCCAAGGGTCTCATTCATCGCATTGTGGACTGCTTTTTGGTGTGGTTCCCCCGCAAGTTCAAGCGTGACTGGGTTCAATTCCCTGCTGAAGAGTTGCGTGAGGAGATGGCGCTGGACTTCCGCGCCATCAAGGGCGTGCCGAACGTCATTGGAGCAATCGACGGCACACAAATCGAGATACGCGGTCTGGATGCTCACCGCAGCGACTACTACAACCGCAAATCTGTATACAGTGTACAGCTACAGGTCACTTGTGACTCGAAAGGGATCATCTGGGACTACACAGTGGGCAACCCCGGGTCTATGCATGATCAAGGTGTTTTCTCTACCTCTGAGCTACATGGCAGGCTAGAGAGCGGCGAAATCGCCCCCTATCAGCTGGTTGGGGACGCGGCATATCCTCTGAAAAGCTACATGCTAACCCCCCTCCATGCTCCCCGCCGCCGCCTAATGAAGAAGTGGGAGAACACCTTCAACTACGTCCAATCGGCGACGCGGATGGTGGTTGAGCGCACGATCGGAGCACTCAAGGGTCGATGGAGGCTCTTCTCCCGCCGGCACGAGAGCAAGCTCTGGCGCGTGTGTGGCGGGACCGCCTGCATCATCATCCTGCACAACATGCTGCAGGTGGTCAGCACCCCAAGGATGAGGACGTTCAATCCCCGCCGCTTCATTTGGGCGGGGCTACCAAATGGCTGGTGGACAAGAAGCGGCATGGATCGCTACCAATGGGAGAGCCTGGACAACCCGACTCTTACCGAGCTGCGCGTCAGGCGCCGCCACTTCGGCAAGCATATCCACAGGGCTTACCTTAGGCGTCGCCGAATGCCCAAGAGGCAGCGCTAAGGCGCTGGCTGCTCGCCCGCCTCATCTGACCCGGCCATGGTTGCGTCTCCTTCCTCCGCTGTCGGCGGCGGAGGTGGGGTGGTGGCTGGCGCATCTTGAGGAGCTTGCTGGGCGACCATCTGCAGGCGCAAGCCTGCCTGCAGCGCCGCCATGTTCATCGCGGCGACAAGGACCTGCGTTGAATCCTGGAGCTGGCGCACCACGTTCACGTTGGTGGAGTTGATCGCGTCGGTCACCAACCTAGCTGCCGCCATTGTCGCAGTATCCTGTACCCGCCGTCGTTTCGGTGGAGGGGTGATTGCCGTATCTGTAGGGGTGGGAGTAGGGTGTGTCGGTCATAAGGCGGCCTTTCATGTCGTTGTTTGCCTGTACCTCCCTTGTCTGTCAATGTTTTGGAACATTGGAAACTTGACGTTTAAATGAGTGTGTTGTATAAGAGACACACTAAACCGCTCGGGTATTAGCACATTTGTCGCATTGGTAAGATATAACCTAAACAGTAGGCGCATACATGAAATCAGAGCACTGACCGATGTCTGGTGTTTGGCGGCGTGTTCCACGCTGTTGCGCCTGGGCCGGCGGAACCAAAGTCTCCCGGTCGTTGGAGCCGGGGACAGTTGCGTACGCCGCGACGTCAACGCTGGCGGCGCCACCACCGTCCAAGGCGTGGGGCTTAGCTTTGGCCGAGTGTTTTTTCAAGTTGTACACGTACTCCCACCAGGGCTTCTTCTTCACGGCTTTGCCTCCGCTTGCCGATTCTCCCCGCTTCGTTTTGAAGTAAAGCTTCTCGAGGCGTTTCCACGCATTAGACATCTGCCCCTCGTCGCGGTTCCACCCCGGTTCCCCCTCGACGATGTGGGCGTGCAGCTTCCTCCAATACTGGCTGCCCTGCTTGCCCTGCATCGCTTTGAGATCGTCCTTCGTAGTCCACTTGGCGGCGGCGAGGGTCGTCAGCTCCGCATCTGACCACTTCCTCTTGTTGCTTGACGGTTTAGGTCGTTTCTCCTTCTTCGACGCTCGTGTGCTGCGATCGTCGCGACTCCCTTCGCCGTCGGACTCTCCCTCCTCGTCGTCCGTTGTGTCCTTGTCGTTACCGGGGTCGTCATCGCTTTCCGATTCCGAGACGATCTCCTCGAGGTCGTCATCGCTGACGTCGGTATCGGCGCCATCCTCGTAAGCAAGCCGTGACGCGCCGCTGGTGGATGCGGCCGCAGAGTCCCGTTTGGTCTTGGATATGCGTTTGATGGAGGGGGGCGACTTCCCCTGTTTCTTCTGCTCCTTTAACCACACGACGTAAGGAGGGTCCGCCATAGGCTCATCGTCGGATGCTGTCTCCTTTCCCTTGCTACGGGTGCTACGGCGTGGCGGCATGGCTTCACGTTCTGTGCTTGACAGATCTGGGTGATGAGGCTGTTGGTGTTCGTCGGTTGAAACTGTGTCATGCAGATCTGGAAGTTTGTTGCGCTTGTGTTTTTGTGGGATGCAACAACCCTGGTGTGGGAAGGACGCTGTTGGGATGGTGGGTTTGGCTGGGAATGTGGAGCCGCGCAGATCTGAATGTGACCTTTCCCGCCGGGAATTTTGACGGTGGCTGGGGTGGGGTCAGACGGACTCTCGGCTGATGGCTGTTCGTGGGGGTACATGTACGACTCGGCCGTATTGGCCGCGACGTGTGTTACCAGTATTTTGTTTGGCGCGGATTTTGGCGCCCAAACGAACTGTCGCATGGGGCGCATGCCTCGAGGTTGGTGTTGCGTGTTGTTCTGGGCATCCGCAAATGGCGCATGCCCGGAACAGTGCCCATGCCCCAAACCCGAAATACGCCCTAATTCAGTCAAGATTTCGCGAAGGTGTGTCTGTGGCACTCGTGCGAGCGTTTCACGCAAGTTTTTGGTTGGGCAATGATTTCGCGTGCCTCCCTAGTCACCGCGACTGGTGCCTTTCTTGACTAGTTGACCTTGTGGTTGGTTCGCGGTCACACGCTTGACCCCGAGGTACAGGTCAAATTTGTAGGGTTACCCGCTTCGGGATCCGTCACTTGGACCTCGCTTGCGCATGATGTACGACGCCCTAAAAGCAGCTTGTGTTCTGCTTGTATGAAACGCATACCTAATAGCAACCTTTAAATGTCTTTCTTAAAAACAATCAGTAATGTAAATGCTACTACTACTAGGATATCATTACTGAAGAAATAAGCACTAGGAATGTGCACACACTCCACAAACCCAAGTCCATGCCTTCTACTCACAAATAGCTGCCATAGTTTCTGACTGGAACTTCAAGACTCCCAATGTCCACCAATTTTTTATCCTTACTTAGATCAAAGTGCACCAATGCCTGAGGAGCCGCCCTCCCACTCCTACAGCAGTCACCTCCGGATCACGCGTACAACTCAGCAGCCCCCAACGCAAAAAACCGTTTCTTCTGGTAAGTATCGTGGAAACTGCCTAAACCCCTTCCTCTTCACACGTACAGCTCAGCAGTCCCATCTCCATGCGCTGCCGGCACAGCACTCCACTGCTTCGCCCACACAGCGCCTGCTCTCAGCAACGCCTCCCTTGCAGCTGCTCCCTGTCCTCCTCCTGCTCCCGGATCCCCCTCACCAGCAGCACACCCTGCCACGAGTTCCCCCATTAGCCATGCCATGCCTCGCACTGTGTTGGAGGAGCTGCCACTCCACTCCAGTGGCGATGCTATCTCTTCCAAGTTCCCCTTCGCACATAAAGCTCAGCAGCACCGTTCCCATGCCCCGGCACAGCAGACCACTGCTTTGCCCACACTCCTGCACTCAGCAACGCCTCCCTCACTGCCTCAAGCCCTCCTTTTCTTCTCCACCACCCCCTTCCCCACCAGCACATGCTACCACAATATCCCCCATGACCCATGCCATGCCTCGCACCGTGCCTGGGGAGCTGCCACTCCAGTGGCGATGCTTCCTCTTCCAAGTTCCACGTCACACGTACAGCTCAGCAGCTCCGTTCCCATGTCCTGCTGGCACAGCAGACCACTGCTTCGCCCACACGGCGCCTGCTCTCAGCAGGGCTTCCCTCATAGCCTTACCCCCCTCCTCCGCTCCTGCTGCTGCTGCTGCTGCTGCCTGTTCTCCTGCTCCTCCCCCACCTGGGGCACCAGCAGCAAAAGCTGACACAACATCCCCCATGACCCAAGCCATGCCTCGCACCGTACCTGGGGAGCTGCCGCTCCAGTGGCGGTCCACGAATGAGAGCGCGACAGCTGGCAGCTGCCGCGGCTGACACTGCACGAGGGGTGAAAGGAGGGCGAGTGAGAAACGGGAGTAGGCCAGAGGACATGTGGGATAGGAGGGAGATGGAGAGTTGAATAATTGGTAGGAGCAGGAAGGGAATAATGCGAAGAGTGCAAAAGTGAGGATGAAACCGTGAGGAGATTCTTCCTCAACAGTTGTGAACAAAGAGTGCCCAACCAGCGCATACGCTGGTCAGGAAAGCACATTAAGACAAGACAATTTGATCACGGTAAACGTTGGTCGGAGAGTTTATATGTGGCAAGGTGGGAAAGGGTCAGGTGCAATGGTACAAAAGTACGGGATTGTGGGCAGCACATGAGATGGGAGTGAGTGAGTACAGGTAGAGAGGCGAGGGGAGACACAGAGGATACCAGGGCAGGATGGAAAACGAGCATGCAGGAAGAGGAGAGGGTGCAAAGAAGGGAGAGATGACGGTAGGCTTACATGGGAGAGGAGGGCAGCAGGGAGGCCGTCGATGAGACTGCCAGATGGGAGGTAGGCGATGGTGGGGAGAGGAGCGAGGGACGCGAACGGGGATGCCTGGAGAAGAGGGGATGGGGATGAGGGGCAGAAAGAGAGCATAAGGGGGTTGAGGGGATATGACAGGGAGGAGAGAAGCAGGGAGACCGTCGATTAGACTGCCAGATGGGAGATAGGCGATGGCTGGGAGAGGAGCGAGGGCTGCGAATGGTGACGTCTGGGCAGGAACATTGGCGATGGGGATGAGGGGCAAAAGGAGTCCCTTGACTCTGCATGCCATACCCTTGACTCTGCATGCCATACCCTTGACTCTGCATGCCATACCCTTGACTCTGCATGCCATACCCTTGACTCTGCATGCCATACCCTTGACTCTGCATGCCATACCCTTGACTCTGCATGCCATACCCTTGACTCTGCATGCCATACCCTTGACTCTGCATGCCATACCCTTGACTCTGCATGCCATACCCTTGACTCTATACAAATCAGCACCACACCCCTGGACGCACGTACGAATCAGAGTCATACCCTGCACCTCTGTACCAAACAAAGCCGTACCTTGAAAGCGTCTGTCTCTAGCCGCCACACATCCACGTCCGCAAGGGGGGCCAGTGACGTGGCATGCAGTTTGGCTGGCACAGAGGGCAGTGAGGGGAGAGAGGTGGCCGGCAGAGAGGAAACCACGACCGTCCTGGTGGATAGGAAGGAGAATGGGTTGGGAGATGTTTGGAGGGAGACAGACAGGTGGCATGGAGAAGGTGATGGGGGTTGGGGAATGGTTGGATTGGTGGCGGATGGGATGTGACACTGTACGCAGTGCCGTGATGGGATGTGACACTGTACGCAGTGCCGTGATGGGATGTGACACTGTACGCAGTGCCGTGATGGGATGTGACACTGTACGCAGTGCCGTGATGGGATGTGACACTGTACGCAGTGCAGTGATGGGATGTGACACTGTACGCAGTGCAGTGATGGGAGAGAGGAAATCACAACCGTCCTTGTGGATGGAGAAGGTGTTGGGGGTGGGGTGTGGGGAAGGGGGATGGTTGGATGTTGAAGGGTTGGATGGTTGGCGGATGGGATGTGACTGTACGCAGTATGTGACTGTACGCAGTATGTGACTGTACGCAGTATGTGAGGGGAGAGAGGTGGTCGGCAGAGAGGGAATCGCGACTATCCTGATGAATGCCACGGAGAGGGGGGTAATTGGAGAAGGGGAGGGGGGGGCGGGTTGGAGAGGGGGGGGGGGGGAATGGATGGATGGTTTCACATGCGCCATGCCTCACAGAGATGGTTTGACATGCGCCATGCCTCACAGAGATGGTTTGACATGCGCCATGCCTCACAGAAATGGTTTGACATGCGCAATGGATCCTCAGAAGTTATTTCGCACGCACCATATCATACCCTAACCTAGCGCCACATTCTGGCACCACATGAGATTCGCACCCACTCGGATGCGCACCCACACAGATGCGCACCCACTAGAAGCACCGTGCCAATTGTGTTGACTCAAATGTCACCTCATTAGTGTAAGTATACCGAGGAGCCATCAGGCTAGGCTATCACTCGCGTGCGCACCCTACCAGATTCTCACTCACAGGGATGGTTTCGCGTGCGCCATGACTCACAGGGATGGTTTCGCGTGCGCACACCACACCATATCCTGACCTGGCACCACATTCTAGCACCCTACCAGATTCTCACTCACAGGGATGGTTTCACATGCGCCATGACTCACAGGGATGGTTTCACATGCGCCATGACTCACAGGGATGGTTTCACATGCGCCATGACTCACAGGGATGGTTTCACATGCGCCATGACTCACAGGGATGGTTTCACATGCGCCATGACAACTCGCACCCACTCGAAGCACCGCTCTGCTTCCAGCCGCCCATGGCCGACAGCCAATAGCGCGGTGCCACCTGTCTCTGTGAGGTAGAGGTGTGACGTGTGCTGTCCTGATGTTGATCTGCACGCCATGCATGACGAGGCCATGCATCACATGACATGCATCACATGACATGTGCTAAGTGCCACGCATCATGTGGCATGCATGATGGTACATGCCGTGCACCATGTCACATGCACCATGTGGCACGCATTATGTGCCATGCATTATGTGCCATGCATTATGTGCCATGCATTATGTGCCATGCATTATGTGCCATGCATTATGTGCCATGCATTATGTGCCATGCATTATGTGCCATGCATTATGTGCCCCGTAACCCATGCATCATGTGCCGTATCCCATGCATCGCATGCCATACACCATGCACCAAGTGTGTGGCAAGGATCACACACGAAGCAGAAAGAGATAGGGGAGGGTAAAATAATCACGACTTTGCTGTATGCGGGTTGCTGATGAAGGCAAGGCGGCATCAGGGCCAGCAACAATGGGGGCCAAAAACGAAAGCGGCAGGAGGAGGGGCTCTTGGCAAGACGGCATGAGTGGCAGGACTAGAACCCCACCGGCCCATGACCCGTCACACTCAACTCAAAGCTCTCTCAGCTGATTTCAGCAGTCTCACCTCGCCCCATCAACGCCACTGCTGCTACCACTGCTGCTTCCGCCGCTGTTGCCGTAGTGAACCCGCGCAGCCAATCTAAGCCCAGGATTCTTGCCACTGTCAGCATCAGCACCGTCAGAGGCCAAGTCAGTACCGTCAGAAGAAGGGGCAGATGCAGGACTCCTCCCCAGGGACTCCACAGCATGGGCTATTAGGTCGCTGCTAGCCGGTGCTGCTGCCACCAGCAGCAGCCTCACTGCCACACACCCCTTATCCTCGGTCTCCCCACCATCAGCACCACTGACTCTGCTGTTGCTGCCAGTGATGGGTTCGGTGCTGCTGGAGCTGCTGCTGCTGGTGGCATGGGAGGTGGTGGAAGGCGGAGAGAGGGAGAGGCGCTGCAGCAGTGATGAGGCGCAGGGGTCGTGCCATAGCCACTGGAATTTGCAAGACAGGGGGGGGTAAAGAGGGGGAGGCAGGGAAGGGAAAGAGGGGGGAAACAGCAGAGTGGACGAGCTTTGAAACGAGGCGCTGCAACAGCGTGAGGAGCAGGGTCGTGCAACAGCCACTGGAGGTTGCAAGGCAGGGAGGGATAAATAGGGAGGGGGGAGGGGAAGGCGCAGGGAGGAATAAAGAGGGGTGAAACAGCAAAATCGACAAGCTTTGTAACGAGGCACTGCGGCAGCGTGAGGAGCAGGGGTCGTGCCAGAGCCATTCGTGGTTGCAAGGCAGGGAAGGAGAAAGAGGGAAGGCAGGGGAGGAATAAAGCGGGCGGGGCAGGGGAGGGAGGTGGAGAAACAGCAGAGTTGACGAGCTTTGAAAGGAGGCGTTTCAGCAGCTTTGATGTGCAGGGGTCGTGCCACAGCCACTGGAGGTAGCAAGGCAGGGAGGGATAAAGAGTGGGAGCAGGGAGGTGGAGAAACAACAGAGTGGACGAGCTTTGAAAGGAGGCGTTTCAGCAGTGCTGAGGCACATGATGGGTCGTGCCACAGCCACTGGTGGTTGCGGGAGGGATCCGGAAAGGAAGACGAAACGAGGAAGGGAGCAAACGAATTCAATCTCCATCGGAACGAATTTCAGAGGAAGTCATTCGACAGACAGTAGCAACAGAATAACATTTCAGATTAGCGGTCCGGATCTCCCGTCCACATCGGCTGCCCAGGTCGCTGCCCCGGCTACAGACGCGGTACAAATTCCGCAATTCACTCGTCGCGATTGCACCACACGAATCCGCGCTGCGTAAATCGCCGTATTGAAATCGTACGACCAGAGATACAGACAGATGGATCACGAGCTGTAGCATCACGATGCGTGCTATAACGAGGCTAAATTTTGCCGATTTACAGATACCCTTCCGTCACATAGCTGGACCTGACAATTCGAGTACCGCGGCGCGTCTGCACCTCGCCGTTGCATGCGGCTCCCCTCTAAGAGTCGCATGTCCGGCATGCGAGGGAGCTGTGCTGGAGCGGAAAGACCTCCCAGCGAGGGGGGTTGACCAGGAGCCAGATAGGAACCAAGGCTCGCTTCTTAATCGCGGAATCGGATCGGAACTGAACGAGGGCTCGCGTAATTAACGAGCATCGCGGCGAGCATAGCGGCGACGAGGAGACGAAGAAAGAACCTACTTCGAAGCGGAAGGGAGCGACGGAACCGGAGTGTTTTGGCGGGAAGGACTCGAAATCCGGATCGTCCCAGTGGCGGCTGGGCGGCGGCTCCTCCGTGATCGCGTCGAACGCCGCCATGGCTCTGATTGGCTGGAAGGCGCGACGCGAAAGTCGCACTGTTCAACAAACCGAATTGACCGTTGGCAGAGTTAACTGGAATTAACAGCTGATCAAATTGACAGCGGTCGAACGATCGGTCTAGGATGAGGACTGCTGAGATCGACAATGGTGCGTGGTTCTGAAAATGGGATTTGGCGATGATCATGAATGGAGAGATTTACGAATGTTGAGAGCGAAGTGGTTTGTGGGTGATGGATGTGACGAACTCGCATTGGACTCTGTTTGCACATAAAAGCGTTCTGGGAATGCGGTTAAGCTTTGAGGATGTGGAGAGCCCATTTTGGGATAATAGCTTGAAAAAAACACTTAGGGAACGCTTCACAAAAACGAAAGCTTGAAAAGAACTTCGAGATCGAGAGATGGACCTACAAAAGCAACAGAACAGTGTTAGGGGGTCCTGGTTCGCAATGTAAAATCCTTAGTTCAAAAATGAACACGCCCTCTCAGAAGCAACGGTCGTCAATAGTTGAGACCAAGCTCACTTTGAGTCGCATTCTACTATCCATTGCCGCTAACCCTGCTCGACAGCCGCGGCGACTGAATCGCCTGCGAACACCTGACGCGTTCTTTTATTTATTGCCACGGCAGTCATGGCGTGCGTAGCTTTAGGAGCCATTTCCACATGCGGAGTCTCCCTCGTTTCACGCGGCGCCTCAAATCCATCGGCGCGCTTCCCCTGTGCACCCGGTGAGGCTCCTTACCGTCGCCATGAGTAACGCTACTAGCATCTCTGTAGGTTAGCCTCGCAAGCCGTTAGAATGCGTCAATTGATCACGAAATTCCCGCATTTCGCTTGTCCGAACGGGGCTTAGAGCATTCTTACTTCATCCGCATTTAACAACCCGCGAGATGATGTACGTCATGCCTTGAGAAGTCGCAAGTTCGAGTCTTGAGACGTCCCGAAGCCTCGGTAGTACTGATGCCCGCGATTGCTTGCCCGTTACAATCATGCGGAGAGGAATGAATGGCGCACGTTAATCTCCCGCTCCCTTCACTCCCACACATCCCTGCCTCCCCCCCCTCCCCCTCACCAAGCTCAACTTCTAAGACGCCTCAAAGACATCCCTGTATGTTCCCGTCTCCCCTCCCCTCCCTCCCTTTCCCCCACCCCTCTTCCCCCCTCCTCGCCCCTTTTCATCTAGTTCAATCTCTTCGTCTCGCTCTCCTACCCCCCTCACCAAACATTTACAGCTCCCCGCAGCATGGTCATCACATGAGAGTTGCGCTCTTGTCAAGCGCACCCTGAGCTCAGGATGCACCTTTTGTGCACCTTTTGAAAAGAACAAAAGGTGCATCCTGAGCTCCATACAGCTCCCATCCATTTCCCCGCAGCTCGCGCGGCCAGCATGGCAGCAGCTGGCTTCTACGAATCTCCGCGGGTTCCAATAGCCAGCGTATGTTTTTGAGAATTCTCAAAAAACATCCGCGGGTTCCAATAGCCAGTTGCTGCCAGGCTGGCCGTGAGAGAGTTTGCGCAAGATCGTAGTAGCCAGTAGCCAATTCAATTTGCGCATCGAAAGCTGTGTGATGCTTCTGAGAGGATTGCGCATCACACATTGACTGACTTCTCTACTCTCCATATCCCCACACCCCTTCAACTCGCAGCGTTAGCTTCGCAGCTCCCACAGCCCCCTTGGCAGCAGCTGGCTTTTGAGAATGTCCGCAATAACCAAAAGCCAATCGAGCATGTGTATCGAAAGTTTTGTGCCTTTCAGATGATTGCACGTGACACGGCACACACACCTACTACTACCCCCCATTCCCCCTGCCCCGCAGCTCGCAAAGTTGCCTTCACAGCTTGCGCGGCCAGCGGGGCAGCAATTGGCTTTTGAGAATTTCCACACTTCCTACAACCAACTGAGCTCGCAGCATTGCCTGCCACATGACCGCACTTTTGAGGCGACTCAAAAGTCACATGACCGCACTTTCGAGGCGACTCAAAAGTCACATGACCGCACTTTCGAGGCGACTCATAAGTCACATGACCGCACTTTCGAGGCGACTCAAAAGTCACATGACCGCACTTTCGAGGCGACTCATAAGTCACATGACCGCACTTTCGAGGCGACTCAAAAGTCACATGACCGCACTTTCGAGGCGACTCAAAAGTCACATGACCGCACTTTCGAGGCGACTCAAAA